TTTTTATTAATTTCTTATCTTATTGAATTCAATAAAATAAAAATAAGTTTCAATATAAATTATACAATAGATGTAACTTTTCTTTTTTATATGTATATGTATTTTTTTATATATGTATATGTAACTGTATTTCTATAATAATTAATTTTATTTAAAACTACAATAATTAATTTCATTTATAGAAATTAGTTATTAAAAAAGTTTAAATAAATAAATAATACAAAATTTCTCCATTGATTTATTTAATACGAATTTGAATTGTGTATTTAAATAAGTTTCAAGCGATATTTTTATATTTTTAGTATTTGTTTTGATTTTTAAAAAAATAAAAAAAAAAGATATTCCACAAACATATTAAACTTTTCTAAATTTTGAAAAATTGTTATCTGTTGTTAATATATTAACAAATATTTAAAAAATGGCGAAAATATATAGTATATATATATATATATATTTATAAATAGCTCTATAATTATATTTTATTAAATATAACATAAAATAATATGACATAATGTAATTTGAAAAAAACAAAATATTTATTGAAAATTTCACATATTATAAAAAAACGAAGTTTTAGAATACATAAGATTATTTAAATAAAAAAATCTAAAAACCAATATAGTAATAATCTTAGCAAAAAGTAAAAAATTAGTCAAAAAATCTATATTTTTTAATATTTTAATAAGAGATATATTTTAATTTTTTTTTAATTATTTTATAGATTTATAAGAATATATATATTATTTATTTCTTAAAATATGTTCTGATAATTAAATTTCTACAATATTTTTAATGAAATTAATTTTTATATGAATATTTTTTATGTTATACATTGTACATTCGATGGTTATATTTTAAAGACATTGAACTTTCAATTATTAGATATTTATAAAAATCTGTAACTTTATAATGATTGAATTAAACAAATATAAATAATAAAATTATTATTACAAATATAAAATATCAGATACCTATTATATTTATATTATTTGATATGAATTTATAGTTAAAATCATCTCAATATTAGATATTATTTAATTTTATTTTTTTAAAATTTTTTTTCTACTATTGATTAGAAATTAAATTTTGTTTGTATTTTATCAAATAATATAAGAATGTTTTATATATTTCTTAATATCAACTTAATATATATATTTAAGAAGTAAAGTAAATTAATTTTAAACATCATATTCTGCACCAGCCATTTTCTCATTAATTAACCAAGATACTAAATTTAAACATGTTTCATTATTTAAATACAAAATATTCATAAGCATTCCTTCAGCATAACCTACAAGTAATCCTGCACAAACATCAAGAATATGATGTCTCCTCATTAAAATCCTAGACATAACTACAGCAAATACCCACATTAATAATATTATAAGAAAAATAGCAGACACAGGCCATATATATGCAAAGAAGTAAAAAATAAGCATTGAACGTGAAGCATGACCTGAGGGAAAAGCATATTTATCAGGTCCTATCGAAAAAGGATCATTGTTATGTGCTGGTCTTTTTCTTCCTGTTAAAGCTTTCAATATAGCAATAATAATAATGTCTAATAATAGAGCTAAAAACATAAATAAAATTAAATATTATGAAATATTAGTTTTTGACATTTATAAAAAATCATTAATGGAATTAATACACACCTGTTATTAAATTAATTTGTACTTGGTATAAACTTTTAGAATTAAGAATCCAAATAAACGCAAGTGACAATGCTAACCAAATTATCCCATGACATGATACCTATATGAATAATACAAGTAATATATTATAATTAATTAATCTATATTATATTTATTTAAGATAACTTTTACTTTTATGTATATATACAAAAAAAATTGATTTTATATTTTTTATATATTATATATAATTTAATATATAATTTTATATATTATTATATATTATATATAATTTAATATATAATTTTATATATATTAATTATATCTAATTGTAAAATATGAACATACCT